TGTCCTTTTGTTCTTCAGTCTAGTTGTGGAGGACGTTGCTTCACTGGCCCAAGTTGGCACCATCATTGCGCTCTTCCCAGGCGAGGCAGATCAGTCACCGGCTTCTGGACGGCCACTCATGGTGGCTTGAAGGCCGCTCACACTGGCTGCTTACTACACACAGTAGCCCATGGCAACCCACTGCCACAGGGGCTGCAGCCTACGCCGTCACCGGCAACTCACCGCAGCCCAGCTCCAGGTTGAGCTGTTGTTCAACATCTTAGCTGTGGAGGGCAGTGTCACTGGCTCTCATATATGGGATCCGAACCAGGGTCCTCTGGCGTCCCAAGCCAGTTCTTAACCATCGCGCCACTCGGCTGGCCCTGCCAGTTGTCTTAAGGCCCAGAACTGGCACAGCACTTTTCCCACCATGTTCTATTGGTCAAAGCAAGTCACAAGGCCAGTACAGACGCAAGGAGAGGGGAAACAAACTCCATCTTTTGATGCGAGGAGCACCATGCTGCATGTGTGTAGAGGGAGGGGAGGAATCATTGCAGCATCTTCGGAGAGTCTACCATATCCTTTGACCCTCCGTTTACTCATCTGAAAATGGATATTTTATTATCTATTTCAATTAGATTGATGAGAAGATTAAGAGGCATATATATGATATGTGATAGCATGTTTTAAGTTGTAAAGTGCTCAACAAGTACAAGATATTATAGTGCTGGGTGATAAAAGCAGATTGGAAGAATGAGAGATTATATAGGACTATAAAAGGAGGTAGAGGAGGTTGTTGTAATAATAACATTTGCTATGTGCCAGGCACTGCACTAAGTGCTTTATAGGTATTAACTTCTTTAAATCATCACAACAACCTTATAAGATGGCTATTTTATTGCCATTTTACAGAAAAGGAACTGCAGGCAAATGGCAGAGCCAGAATTTGAACCCAATTCTGTTTGGTTCCAAAGTCTTAACTGCACCCAGAGTTCTTTTATCACTCGTATCCTAATCATTCAGCAATTGGGTAAGGGGAGGTAGCAGCTACCCCAGAACTACTGAAACAGAAGTTCTGGAGGTGGAATCCAGAATCTGCATTTTTAAGAGCCACGTTAATGTGGGAGAAGCATTCAACCTCGCTGTATATACAGTGAGCCTTCTTAGGTTTTCCAGTAGTTCTATGACACTAAGAAGACAAGCTCAGAGGAAATTTAGGATTGCTGGTGCAGAAGAAAACTTGAATAAGAAAAGTGCCCAGCAGCAGAGAGAATAATAAAGGGCTTTAAACATAATTACATTTTCTAGAGGTTGATGCTAAAGCTAAGGAAATGAAAGTACTAGAAAGATTAGAAGCCTGACCCAACAACTTGCAATTAATTAAGTTTACATTTTATTAATTCGTCTATTTTTTGCCTCTTTGCTTTTGGGCTTGTTATTTCCTCTGCTAGAAAACCCCAAGTCCCATCTTCACCCCACCCAACTTGGCTAACATCTCTTCATTTCAGGTTTCTGGACAAAAGCGTGCCTCCTCTGGGAATGCCACCTCCTGAACCCCCGGGGGATCCCACATGTGTGCTGCACCTTCCTCCATCCTGTCATTTATAGACCCTCTATTATAAATGTTGGTTTATACTCCTTGTTCAGCACTACACTGGGAGGCCCTCGAGGGTAAGGACTGTGAAGGAAAAGAGGAGGGAGAAAAGGAGAGATTAAAAGATGAGTCTTGAACCGCTAGGTGAACCTAGGAAGTGAAGGAGCCACTGCAAAGTTGCAGTGTTTGAACTTTGAACAGGCATGAAGACTTGTTGAGACTACAAGATGAACTTTATGGAGTTTACCAAACGATAGCAGTTTGATATACGGCAGCCGCATAGTTATCTCTTCATGACAAGAGCAATTAAAAGCAGCCTAGCAAACCGGCCCCTTCAGTGATTACATGCATTTTATTTTAGCCCATATAAAACCTGGTTGAGATTTTGTAAATACAAAAGACAAGAATTTATTTATTTATTTTTTTCCTCCTATGGGCACGAATAAGTCTGATAAGTGATTTGGGCAAGTTACTTAACCTCTAACTGTTTCTTCATTTGTTAGAAAGAGATGATGAAGCTGTTCCTCCAACTTGCCATGGTGACCAAATGTGGCAATGCACGTCAAAATACCTTATGAAGAATTGGCAGATAATACTATTAACATTAACATTATTATTAACTATTATTAATAACTATAATTAACTATTATTAACATTATTCGGCGACTCTATCCCTTTTCCCCCAACCTCTCTAGCCCAGAATAAATTCCAGCAGGTATAGGGGGGAATAATAGAGTCTAGCTCTAACTTGTACGCACCTCCCTGTTACAGCAGCATCTGCCCTAATCCAGCATGGCGGCATCGGCTTCTTCATGTTCTTATCCTCAAGCTACACTAGGGGGCTTTAAAAGAACCGCCGGGTAGGTAGACTCAGCCTCTCCGACGCCCTTTGATGACGCCAAAAACCGCGCCTGAAAAGCAGGCAAAGCAAGTTTACGCAGGCGCACCGCCGCCGCGGGTGGGCGGAGCTGGTCGGCATGAGTGGCGGAGGGTCGGAGACCACTGTGGGTGGCGAGGCCGCTGCGGGCGGCGGCGAGAAGAAGAGGGACTCGCTAGGGACTGCGGGCTCGCCAGCACACCTCATTATCAAGGGTACGTAGTGGTAGGACTATCGCCCTGGTGGATTCCAGCGCAGCCCCACCTCCCAGGCGCGCCCTGTGACCCGGGACCGTGCCCCAGACCGCCCCAGCTCCCGGCGGCTTCGCGTCGGGGAGGGGAGGAGGAGAGTGAGGGGGTGGGGGCGGGAATTCGTGTCTGGTTCCCGTCTATTTCTCTGCACCAGGTGCCTCCTAGTACCTACGGACAGCCTAATCCCTCTTAATTCCTCAAAAAAACACACAAAAAACAAAAAAACCCGCAGACGTGAGCCTTTCAGCCCGCCTCCTCTTCCCCTCCCCAAACCCATAACCCCTGGGCGCAGAGCCTTTGTGGGTGCATCCTCACGACCGACTTGTAACGCTGAGAGCACCAAGATTGGGAGTCGGGAAGACCTGCGCCCCCAGGCAGATAGCTTAGGAGTTGTGTCACTTTAGGTCTTTCGCTTTACCCACTCTGACCCTGTTTGTCTGCTCTTGGGTCTTGCAAGGAGTAAATGAGATAACAAATGAAAGCGTCTTGAAGCTCTCAGCGCCATTCGCGTGTACAGATGTCCTTTTGTCATGTCTGCTTTGAGCTGGAAGGGGTTACGACCTAGTTACAACCTGGATTCTCATAGAACCTGAATTTAGTTTGATTTCCAAAGCTCACAACAACCCTGTTAACCTGCAGCAAGATCTTGCTCAAATACTGCACTTTCTCATCGCCATCCTTCCATAACCCTATCCTTACCCTATCAGCCCCACCACATTGCAGTGTTAAAGCCCTCGTAGGATTCCGGAGTCTTTCAGCACAACCTCGGGTACTGCATCTCTCCCGTGGCTGCTTATTTCACTTTAACCTTATCTGTCAGGATTGTAGGTATCCCGAACACAGCTGACCATGGGAATTTCGAGACTTCAGGTTGTCTGTCAAATCTAATTAGGATGTGGGAGTGGTGCATGGACGTTAAGACTAAATTAAAATTGTTTATATGTGCAATCTTATTGTATATGTTTTCTCCCATTCCATGGCTTGCCTTTTCACCCTGTTGAATCGTATCTTTTGATGTACAGAAGTTTTTTATTTTGATGTACTTTTTTTTTTAAAGATAATTCAGGGGAAGTTTTTCAAGTTAATCCAAAATTGAGTTGTAATTGAAAATAATGTCTAAACTGTCATTGGCTTTTTTAATGGAATCATTCATTCTTTTCATTCTGAAAAAAATCTATTTTTAGTTTATCTTATTTGAAGACTGTCAATTGTAAACAGATACTTATTGAATTTTATTGCCAGAATCTAGTGAAAGGAAACATAAATAAATGATTTCAATATTTATGCTCTGGGTCTTTGAGGGTTTCCAGCCCATGGGTGGGCGTTAGGAGGCGGAGACTGGGAAACAGGAGGGGCTTCCTGGAAGATGGAGTGTCTGATCTGAGTCTTGAGGAATAAAGTATTAGTAGTTAAGAAAAGTGGGCAAGGGTATTTTGGACTTAGTTTGGAACAGCAGGAGCAAAGGCATGGAGGGCTGAAACAGCATGGCATGTTTGGGGAACTACACGTATTGCTACAGTGTGACTCAGAGGTCGAGTTTGGTGGAAATCAGACCATAGAAGATGTCTTGCCTTTTTAAGGAGGTTGGACTTTTTCTTTAATGGCAGGAAACTTTCCAACAATAATAAGTACAAGAATCATGTGGCTAGATTTGTACTTTAAGTGGAGCACTCAGGCAGATAGTAGTTGGTCTTCATCTTGTGGATTGCATACTTGTGAATCCGCCTGCTTTCTAAGATAAGTTTATAACTCCAAAATCAATATTTGTGGTGCTTTCACAGTCATTCCCACATATACAGAGTAGAGAAAAAGTTGAGTTGCCCTATGCGCACATTCATACCTGAGGTTGAACAAGGCAACACTCTGCTTTTTGTTTCAGCTCATACTGTAAACAAGTGTCCCTTTTGTTTTGTATTTAGTGCCACGTTTTCTGTGCTTTTTGTTGGTGATTTTGCTGTTTAAAATGATGTCCAGGTGTAGTGCTGATGTGTTCCTAAGCACAAGCAGGCTGTGACGTGCCTTTCAGAGAACATACTTGTGTCAGAGAAGCTTCTTTTTGTCTTGAGTGCAGTGTTAATCAACAGTCCAGAAAAAGGAAGGAAATTCACCAATTGTCTATATGTGAGGCCACTCTGAAAAGTCTAAGGTAACATTTAGTGTGATGAAGCAATGGAAAAGCAGCTAAATTTGTGAATTTATAAAACGATGACTGATAGAGAAAGCATAGTGGATTGCACTGTTGTGAAGCTGAAAGCCAAAGAAATTTAGGGTCAGTTACCAAAGGTCAGGAAAATGTTCAACCCTTCTGGTTGCTGGCTGGCACTTTCAAATGTGGGACAGTGTGAACAATGTTAGACTTGCAGGTAAAGGAGGTTCTGCAGAACTTTAAAAATACTTGCTAAGGGTTGTACAGGAAAAAGTGCTATTGGAAAAGCAGATTTTAAAACAGTGTGTTTTACAAGGATCTTGGTACACGAACTTATGACACACATAGCATTTTGTTTGACTGACAAAAATGTGACCAGAGGCTTGCAGGAACCTAACCCTATATTTACAGTAGGAACAATAGTTCAGTATTCACTAGTTCATTGTTCGAGGCAACTTTATAAACCTAACTACTGCAAATAATGAGAATTGACTCTGTAGAGTGGGTTGGAGAGAGGTGTGACTGTAGGTGAAGGTCGAGTGAGACAAGCCGGGATGGGAAAAGGATGGGTCTGAGAGTCTGAGAAGCCGTGAGGAAGAAGAGCATCTGTATAGTAACACTGTGGGCTTATCAGGGGAAACTTGCTATGTGATAAATTGTTCCTTAAGATATGCAAAAATCCACATACTATATTAAAGACCTCCAAATTCAGGGCCAGGGAAAAACTTCTGCTTTTACTAGATAATGAGAGAGCTGCAGTTTACTGTGTTCCTCCTTGTTCTGGAGTCACACCGCATATTGGCCTTCCATTTAAGTGCTTAGCTCTATCTTTTATGTGAAGGGATATTTATCTAACTCCCTCATTAGAGTATGAACTTTTAGAGAACAAAATATCTTTTGTATGTCAACAAAAGAATGATTTGCATGTAGCAACGCTAGGGTTGGATTTATATGAAAATCTGTAGCTTACATTTAGATTATTTGTAGAGAATTTATTTGTAATCCTTGGGACTCCTATGAACTCTGAATTATTATAATGTATTTGTTTTGTTATAATGTTTTAACAAAACTAATTAGTGGTTTAACTTCTGTGGTAATGTGTATTTCAGAATCTTCCCCCACCCCCTCCAAATCTTTACTGTCTTAAACTCTGGAGCACAGGCAAGGCTGTAGAAGCCATCATTATCCACTTCTAAACAGAATTGGATTATCTCTCCAAAGGTTAAGTAAATTCCCATTATATAATATCAAGCCACAGAAACAGATCTCCCAAAATCAACAAAGCTTAATGGCTTCTTAGTCATACAGAAAAATACCTGTTAACTCATATATCCACTCTGGATATTATAAATAATTTGGTCTCTGAGATACTCACTAGAGAGAGAGAATTTCAGGACAATATAGTAAGTGGTATCATGGAACTATGCATATATGCCCTGGGTGCTTTGGGAGTTTAAAGTAGGGATAGAATGAATGCTACTTTGGAGAAAGTGTGATGTCTGAGCAGTTTTGGAGGAAGAACCAGGATTAGGTAGTTGGGGAATGTTCCAGGTGGTGACAATAGTATGAACTGTGGCAAGGGTGCATGAGGCAGCATGGTGTGTTTGGAAAGCTGCAGGCAGTTCAGAACTGCCAACACGTGGGGAGATGAGGCTAGAGCCAGACCCACATAGGAGGACCTTATGTGGCTTCTGAGGAGGCTTGGACCTGAGCCTCTTAGGCTGTTGTGTTTCAGAGACACTAATGCTTATTGAGGTATGAATAGAAACTCTTTGCAAATCGGTGGTCTTATCAAATAAGGTCCATAAATTCCTGCATGGCAGAGCCCTCACTTGGATGTTCATAAATCCTGTCAGTATACTATAGGGTCCCAGAAGACCAGAGGTAAAGGAATCCATCTAACTTGATTTTATCTAATGTTTCCCAGACTTAACTACCGTATTTGCCGGCGTATAAGACGATTTTTTGGCCCTGAAAAATATGCCTCCAAGTGGGGGTTCGTCTTATACGCCAGGTACACTCCAGATAGACTGCCCATAGTGCTTGCCCCGTGCCATAGTGGCCTCCCGATGCCCGCCCACTTCATTCCACATACCGTTCAGGCATCAGCAGCGCTGCTGGGTGTATGCTCGGCTGTTATGCGATTTTGCTGTTATGCGATTTTACCACACTCGCAAAATCGCACACAGCCGACCATATAACAAACTCTGTATTTTGAGTGGAAATGTTAGGGGGTCGTCTTATACGCCCAGTCGTCTTATACGCCGGCAAATACGGTAAGCATAATTTTTTAAACAATGAACTCTTTTATCTTCTTAGACAACTGTTCTGGGTAATGACCCATTGAAAGATTTAAGCAAAAGTAGTACCTTTATTTATGTTTTTTTTTACTTAGCATACTTCCCAAAATGTATCCTAATAAAACTCATTAAGACAGAGAATTGAAATTTGCCCCATTGCATGTCTGCAAACATAAGAAATATGAGGAACAGATTATACCAATGAGTGAACATGAATAATACATGTTCTTATTTGGAGATTTAATTCTTCTAGAAATTTTGAAGTTTACCTCTTAAACTATATGGTTTTTACTAAATAGAATGAATAGAACGATTCACCAAAAACAGTTAAAATTCAAACTTTTTAATTATGACTTTTTTAGACCTACCAAAAAGTATAGTGGCTCATAATGAACACTCATCACCCATCTTAATAAATAAACATTAAAAGACCGCTGTGTATATCTTGCTCTAATTGTCACTCTCCCTCCTCTAAAGGTAACCACTGTCTTGAATATGGCATTTATTGTTCTCATACATTTCTTTATAATTTTTTTGTTTCTGTATGTATCCTGAAAGAAAGTATCATGTTGAATGTTTTTAAAGTCTATATAAATAGTTTTATCCTTCTGAAATTTTTTTGGTTCAGCATTATATTTGTGGGGTTTTTCCATGTTGATATAACTCTAGTGTATTCATTTTACTTGCTGATTTATAGTATTCCATACTATGAGTATGTTTAGATTGTTCCCTTTTTTTCTTTTGACATTACACTCATGCTGTAGTAAATATTTATAAGTATCTCTCTCATTTGTGTAAGAGGTTTTTACAGCATATAGGTAGGCACAGAGTTGCTAGGTATACATGTCTTGAGCTTTATGAGATATTACCAAATTGCTCTCAATAGAATACAAATTGCTCTGTATAGTTTACTGGCAGCAGATGAGATTTCCTCTTAACTCAAAATCTAAAATAGATTTTAACCTTCATATTCATGGGAAATGGGACAGATAAAACAAGCTAGAGATTGTGCTACTTAGTGTGGATTAACCTTGAATTTCATTTTGTTGTTACAGATCTTGGAGAAATTCATTCAAGGCTTTTAGATCACAGACCAGTTATTCAAGGCGAAACCCGTTATTTTGTGAAAGAATTTGAAGTGAGTATTTAAAACTTATTTTGTAAAAATACTGCCCTAACTGTTAGTGTATTAATATACAGAAGGGAAATGCTCTAGTTTTAAATTTTCTGATTTCTGTTCATATGTTCATAAAATCTACAAAGTAAAAATTAAGATTCATTACCATTAATAGAAGGAGCACAGGACTAGGCAGCAGGCGACTTGGGCTCAAGTTCTTTTGCCTGCTCTGGGGTATTTAATGCCTGTCATTCTCAATTTTTTTTAATCTATACAAAGAGATATAGTGAGAGAGAAAAAAAGATTTTAAAGACGGATGGGTCTAGGTTTTCCAGACCCATTTTCTATATTATTTTCTCAGTTGAGGCATTAGCACCCACCCAGAGCACTCAAGCTAAAACACGAGAGTCATCCTTGGCTATTCCCTCCCCTCTAGGGCCCATATTCAGTGTCCACATCTTCCAGATGTTACCTCACAAATCTCTACACCTGCTGACTTGTGTGCCTGCTTTATCCACCCAGTCACATCCAGTCTTTACCCCACTGCCAGAGTGCTCTGACATTATTTCACTTTTTAAAATCCTTTGAAAATCTTTGCCATCTACAGGCTAAAGTCCAAGCGTCCTTCTGTGACCTGGCCCCTGCCTTTCGAGCTGAACCACACCTTGCATGCTATGTTCCAGCAATACTAATAACACCCTGCCATCCTGTTTCCTATTACTGTTGTTTTGCTCATATATAATTGGCTCATGTGCATTAAACAGTAACATTGCAAACTACTATTGAATAGGTAGTAAATGGTGTTACACAAACAATTTTGTGATTATGTGTAAGTTGGGATTCTATTTTCATGTGTCTCCAACCATTCAGGAAGTCTAAACCTGCCAGAAGGAGAGACCCTTTTCATAAACTGTTTAAAACTACAGAAACCCTGTGATACAGAGCACTAAAGGTTGAAGGACAGAGCTGTAGAGTTAGACTATTTCTGGGTTCAACAGGCTCTTACGCAAAATCTGCATAATACCTACTTCACAGGGTAGTCATGGAGATTAAAGGTATGTGTGCATGTGCATGCACACGTGTCCATATGTGTGTGTATCTTAGAATATTATCTGGTGCCTAGGAATAGCTGTTAGTTGTCTTCATTATTATTGTTGTGGGATAACTCGGAAAGTTATCCAGAGACTATTCCATTATCATACTAGGTAAAGATTATTACCAATTCCTTAGTGAGACTAATGTAGAAAAAGGAGCGAGAGTAAAATCTCACTGTCTTCTCTGCTCAGTCTCTCAAAGCTAAGATCAAGATGTTGGCCAAACTTTGTTTTTATTAGGGGCTCTGTGTTCTCTCCCGAATTCACGTGGTTATGGCAGGACTCAGTTCTTTGCTGTGGTAGAATGAAGTTCCCATTTCCTTGCTTGCTGTCAGCCAGGGGCCCCTCTTAGCTCCTAGAGGCCACGCACATTCCTTGCCACATGGCTCCTTCCATTTTCAAAGCCGTAAATGGAGCCTCTGTCACATGGAATCCCTCCCATGCTTGCCAAGGAGGACTCAGTCCCTCTTAAGTCAGGCCCACTGAGGATAATCTCCCTTTCTTTTTTTTTTAAAGATTTTTATTGGGGAATTGGGGGAAGGGGAACAGACAAGTTGCTGTCCTTTTGGTCTTCAGTCTAGTTGTGGAGGACATTGCTTCACTGGCCCAAGTTGGCACCATCATTGCGCTCTTCCCGGGCGAGGCAGATCAGTCGCCGGCTTCTGGACGGCCGCTCACTGAGGCTGCTGGCTGCTCACGCTGGCTGCTGGCTAACACGGTAGCCCATGGCAACCCACTGCCACAGGGGCTGCAGCCTACGCCATCGCCGGCAACTCATGGCAGCCCAGCTCCAGGTTGAGCTGTTGTTCAGCATCTTAGCTGTGGAGGGCAGTGTCACTGGCCCTCATATGTGGGATCCGAACCGGGGCCCTCTGGTGTCCCCATCCAGTTCTTAACCACCGCGCCACTCGGCCGGCCCGATACTCTCCCTTTCTTAAAGTCAACTGACTTGGGACCTTAATTATATATGCAGGATATCTTTACAGCAGCACCTAGATTAGGGTTTGATTTGAATAACAGAGGTGTGTATACACTAGGAGCGGAGGTCTGGGGGGCCATCTTAGAATTCTGCCTTTTCTTGTTTTTTACTTGTTTATTACCTGTCTTCCTTCATTAGAATATAGGTACCACGAGAATAAGGACTTAGCTTTTTTTATTTTCCATTGTATCAAAAATGCCAAAGATAATGTCTGGTGTATTGTAGGTAGTTAATATGATTGAGAAGAATGAGTAGCAAAACTTGAACTAAAGTTGGGTTTTCTGACATTCAGTGATGTCATAAGTCTTTTTTTTTCATAAGTCATCTTTTTTATTAGTCTGGTTAATTTGAAATACTGAATAGTTTTTATCTTAAAAAATTTTGTAAATATACCTTTAAATATCTACTCTATATTAAAAGAAGCATAGGATTTTGGAATTAAGGTGGATTCCTTAATCCAACTTCTTCACTTCATAAAAAGTGAGCCCAGAGATGGAAAACAATGTGTGAAATGTCATACAGCTAATTAGTGGCTGAGTTATCCCTAGAATACAGGTGTCATTATACTTATATCATTGTTCTTTAAATAATGTAGATGGTTTCTGTCAAAGGGTTATACAAGTGAAACTGAGTCGTAGATGGAAGATTAAGGAAGTGTTATTTTTATGCTGTTGAATATGTTATATTCAGGAGCTCACTTCCTGTTGAAGCCAATACCTCTTTTAATGAGGATGGAAGATAGTTGTCAAGAGTATGTTTCTAAGAGGAGAGGAATGACAGTCAACCCTCCTTAAGGGCTCTGCATCCACGGATTGAAAATATTCAGGAAAAAAAGTTACATTGTTGCTGAGGTGTGTTATGTAGTTAGGCCTATGATGGTTGTGTCTGTACTGAACATGTTTTCTTGTCATTATTCCCTAAACAATGCAGTGTAACTATTTATAAAGTATTTACATTGTATTAGGTATTATAGGTAATTTAGAGATGATATAAAGTATACTTGAGGATGTACTCAGGTTATATGCAAATACTGTGCCATTTTATTTATTTTATTTTATTGTATTGTATTATTTTTTTTAGCTGAGCCATCTTGCCACCTGTTGGCAGCTCAGCAGCAGCTCAGCTCGAGCTGGGAATCGAACTGGCGACCCTGTTACTCAGAGCTCGCACTCTTGAGCAAGCTCTTAACCACCTAAGCCACTTGGCCGGCCCCTGTGCCATTTTATTTAAGGAATTTAGGCAGCCTAGGATTTTGGTATCTGCGGGGGGAGGGAGTCCTGAGATCAGTCTTCCATGCAAACCAAGGGACAACTGTAGCTGCACTCTGCATTGTTAAGCTAAGTTTGAGCCCTTACCTTCAACTAAATGTAATATAATGCCTTTTCCAGTCTTTTCACTCAATGATCTCCCCAGTTGGCCTTCCTGAGGGTTTAGGGTAGCACAGAATCTTTCCTACATATCAGGCTCAGCTACCTTTCCTGTATATTCTAACATTTCCCCTCAAATTAGAAGAGAAAAGCTGAACACATTTTAAAGACGTTAGAGTTAAAAGGATATCTGCATTACTTACAATTCTTTTCAATCTTGGTCCAAACTGTAACATCCTCTAATTAGCACAGGTGGGCTTCACCCAGGATCAGATGGCTGGACAGAGCAATGGTGAAGCAGAGCTATGAGTACTTCCTGGAAGTTTCTTCTTCTCTATGCCACTTACATGTAGTTCACTTGAAGAAAAACTGGCTAGGATTTAAAGCTAAAGTTGTTTATAGTTTATGTACTTTAAAAAGTTAACACTCAAGGCAATCATCATCGCTTTGAAATTTAATTTCTAAGAGAAGGGAATAAGTGCCACATGGTGGCAGCGTTACTTAAATTATTGAAGTTCTATTTTAATATTTTAAGCTCTCTTTTTGTGTTTGTATTTCTGGACAGTTGACTGTGTTTCTCCCGACTTTATACAAATCTTTTATTCCCTTGATTCCAGTGGACATTGTGGACAGAGAGCCCCTTGTGGCCCTTTCAGTGAGCATCAGTCTGGCAGTGTCAGTGGGTGGAGGCATTGTCTTCTGTACCGTCTTCCTTCTAGCCATAGAGGAGATGTCACGGCCCCGCATGTGAAACAGGAGAGACCCACAGGAATCGTTGTTTATGATGTACTTGCTTATGGGGTCTGTGGTCCTGTACAAGTTCCTCATTTCATTTTTGGCAGACTTTGTTCTTTGAATGCTTTGTTAAACAGTTATTGAGTACTAAGGTATGTGAATAAGGAATGTGTTTAGTTACTAGTAACAGATACCTGAAAAATAGTGGCTTTAACAAGTGTTTATTTTTCTCTCACAATCCCCAGAGCCTGGGCCTGGTGTGGTGCTCTGCAGTGTCAGCTCTTTTTCTGACTTTTCCTTCTACCTCCCTAGGGTGTTGCTCTTATCTTTATGCTATAAGATGGCTTTGGGAGCTCCATCCATGACATCTGCATTTCATGTAGCAAAAAGGAAGGCAGGTGGGAAACAGCTAGCAGTCTCTGTATAAACACATTTACTATACCAAATAGTATTGGGTGTTGCTAGGAAGAGAGAAGAGGCGAATAGATCCCAAGCTGTCACACTAGACATGTAAAAATTCATAAGAAACAGCCTCTAGCTCCAGGAAGTTTACAGTCAAGGGAGAAGAAAGACATATAAACAAAGAGTTTTAATGGTGGAATTATGATAAAATAAGCACAAAGTACTTGAGATCTCAGAGGAGAAAACAACCCCAGAAACAACTCCCAACAGAGCTGGGAGGAAAATTTTCATAAAGGGAATGATGTTTGAGCTGAGACGGAAAAACAGATGTTAGATAGGGAAAAAAATGGATGATTAAAATTAGAGGCAAAAAATGGTGTTCAGATAACTACAGTAATTACAGGAGTTGGGAGGGATTGTTTTGATGAGTTTCAGTATGGGTTG